CTATCTTAACTCGCGTTCTCGTATATATAAGGATAACGAAATCATAGCTCTATATATTTTTTTATTAGAGTGCTGTTTCTATAAGACAGAATAAACCGTTGGCACCGATGCCTATGGACATTCGGTCTTCCCAAAAATCATCAGGGATTGGAATCAACTACCATCAAAATTCACTACGGCCGATACCAAAGAGGGATTCAGAGCTGCCTTTAAGGCATGGTCTTTAACGGGAACTAGTCAACCCAACTTGTACATAGTTTTAATTGTATATCGGAGATTGTCTTGAATTTAAATAACTATGAGAATATTATCTCTGTTGTTCGACACTGCGAAAAGTTTACGCGGGACCATCAAATTCATGAATACGGTTTCCTAGCTTGTTAGAAAGAAGAAGAACACTTTAAATAACTAAGCCGATGCGTCTCTTTACTAAAATAACCTCAACTAAACTAGAATGGTCTTGTTATTATGATGTTTAAATCAATATCAAAACTAAGTTGTGTTAGAATTTTTTTTTCAAAAACTGAGCTTATAAAACATTGATAGACAGCAGAGAACAATTATAGTAAAATGCTATGACAAATATAAAGTTATGAAACGAGATCTTACATGATATCTTTGTTGATATTGAGTTCTATTGAAAATCACGGAATCCATTGAAACTGAGAGACAATTGTTGACCATTTAAAGTGTCAATCGGATTAATTATCATGGCGATCATACATTATATACAGATCTATACACGAAATACCGCACGTGCCGTGGAAAACATGTCAATAACTGTTTATTTCTTTATTGTTTTATTATGTACAAAAGAAAGAGAATGAAAAAGTAAACAATAGAGAATATTATGGTGTTAAAATATAAAGAATATATAATAATGGGGAAAACACACATCCTTGGCTTTCTAATGTTTGGTTTAAACGGTCCTGATGAAGGGGAATCCAGAAAAGGCGCTACGAACGCAAGATATTAATAAAGTTCATTTAATGTAACAGAATACAAATGACACACCTAGCTAAAATAGAAAAATAGAATCTGTGTTGAATTGTCGAAAGCTGAAACTATACGTTTCTTACCGATTTGTGGTAATTGCGAACATTTAGGGGGGACTTTAAAAGTCAAAGCCAGAATATTCATCATGTTGAATGTGGGCAGTATTTGGAAGAAGAAGCCATTTAAAACACAAATTGTAATTAATTTCTTGATGGATTTACACTAAGAAATACCTTTAAAATACGTTTTAGCAAGTTTATTTGAGTAAATTTATTTTAATTGAGTGAAAAGTACAGCTTCTTAAATTAATCTATTTGTTCGACGATAATCTAGGACAGGGGCGGATTCAGGCGGGAGCGTGGCGGGCCCCCCTAAAATTTGCAAAGCATGGGCTGTCCTCAGCTTAATAAAGATCATTTCGATAATTTTACCTAAAAAAAAATTAAGTTCGCCCCCCCCCCCCCTAACCAAAAATCCTGGATCCGCCCCTGTTCTAGGACATAATATCCTCTTCCCGTGCAGATATACTCCTCATGATATGCATCTGATGCGTCGAGATCTGGATGGAGACTTAATGTCATATACTTACAAAAAATGCGGGATAAGGGAAATGAGCACTCGATCGTGTCACCCCCTCATGACAAAATGAGAAAAAAACACACGTTAAACTGGTTTTCTTAGACATAAAGCACAACCCCTATGGGAAACCACGTGTGTGCGAGGGAAATTAGTGCTTATTTCTTTGGTACTTATCAATTGCGTAGGAAAAAATAGAAAAGTTGGGGAGGGGGACTTCTTAAAGTGACAAGCCAAAAAAGTAGACCTTTAATTTTTTTTATATAATAATAGTCTAATAGTCTAGAAATGAGTTTATGTCCTCTTTCCTAGCCATTTTATATTTTAAGAACAAATAAATTGCCAAAAGTTGGGGGGCATATAGTTCTGCCCTCACTTTTGCAAGTGTATGGAGCGGGTATGGTCCTCTTTCCCGGCTCGTACGCACCTGCATTTATAAATACCCCTTTACACCAAGAAAAAAAACCATACATGTCAAACAAACAATACTATCCAACGAAATATGGTTTGCCCCCTCCCTTCCTCATTTTGAAAGTGTAGCGGGGTGGGTGGGGGGGGCTGCTGGCTCATACCTGCCCCCCCCCCCAAAGAAAACAACAAAAATATGAATAACAGATTTAAGACATTTAAAAATTTTACGAAAAATGAAAATGAAATAATAAATAGTAATCAGACAAACGTTAAATTAATACTACATGTATAAATATGAAATCAATAAAATAAAGAACAAAAAATATAAATATAAAAAAGACTGTTTCTCTTCTTCTTTTTTTATCGGGAATAACATGTACTGAAAAAAATTGATTTTGTCTCGTTTTAAATTTTTTGATTCAGATATTTTCGTGTTAATTACGGTAATACAATAATGTGATATTCGAGTAGACCCAAGTATTGATCACGTGACACAACTTTTTTTTTCATTTACCATCCCAATGTCCAAAATGGGTGGTAGTTTTTTTTGACGTTGAGACCAGTGGCTGATCCAGGGGTGGGGGTGGGGTCGGGGGTTGGAACTCCCCCTTTTTTTGACGATCAATGCTTTTGAATGGGGACATATGGTTGGAATCCCCCCTTTTAAGGTTCATGTGGACCCTTCGTCTAAAATGGCTGCATTTTCACCTCAAAATTTACTCTGAGTACAGACAAACCTGTGCATCTGGAAAAGTTTTAAGGCATAGCATGCCCTAGATAAATAAAATTCAAATATATTTTATGTTTTAGAAAATTAAAAACTTAACCGGATTTTGCAGTGCACTTTTTTTCATTCCTCCAGAAGTTGCCAAAATAAACTAAGTTGGGAAAGAGGTTTGAGAACTTCCCCACAGGTAATAATTGAAGTGAACTGTTTTGATTGACATGGACAATAGATGGACAATAGATGGACAATAGATACCTGACAATAATTGGTGATTTAAACTGTGTACCTGAGTGGACCATATCAAGTGAAACTCAACTGTTTGTTAATTTTATCATCTTCTGCAGGGACGAAAAAAAGTGCACTGCTAAATCCAGTTAAGTTTTAAATTTTCTAAAACATACAATGCATTAGAAGTTTATTTATCTAGGGCATGCTATGCTTTAGAACTTTTCCAGGTGCGCAGGTTTGTCTGTACTCAGAGTAAATTTTTAGGTGAAATTGCAGCCATTTTAGCCAAAGGGTCCACATGAACCTTAAAAATGACTGGATCCGCCCCTGACTGAGACTAATTTTGCGCTGTCAGAATTCGACTTAAGGTTCATGTGGACCCTTTGGCTAAAATGGCTGCAATTTCACCTAAAAATTTACTCTGAGTACAGACAAACCTGCGCACCTGGAAAAGTTCTAAAGCATAGCATGCCCTAGATAAATAAACTTCTAATGCATTGTATGTTTTAGAAAATTTAAAACTTAACTGGATTTAGCAGTGCACTTTTTTTCGTCCCTGCAGAAGATGATAAAATTAACAAACAGTTGAGTTTCACTTGATATGGTCCACTCAGGTACACAGTTTAAATCACCAATTATTGTCAGGTATCTATTGTCCATCTATTGTCCATGTCAATCAAAACAGTTCACTTCAATTATTACCTGTGGGGAAGTTCTCAAACCTCTTTCCCAACTTAGTTTATTTTGGCAACTTCTGGAGGAATGAAAAAAAGTGCACTGCAAAATCTGGTTAAGTTTTTAATTTTCTAAAACATAAAATATATTTGAATTTTATTTATCTAGGGCATGCTATGCCTTAAAACTTTTCCAGATGCACAGGTTTGTCTGTACTCAGAGTAAATTTTGAGGTGAAAATGCAGCCATTTTAGACGAAGGGTCCACATCATGAACCTTAAACAAATTCCTTTAACATGAAGAGAAAATGGGAAATCCTACGTATAGTTCGATTTAGACGATTCGAAAGATTTCAGCTTAACTGTTTAGCAAACCCACGAGAGGTTTGTACATGGAAACATTTTTATGGTTGCAGTTACCCTTGCAGTCAGTAACTTCGTAGACACTTTATTTAATTTCAGCATTTTGGGACATTTTTTTATTAATATAATTTTCATGAACACTTTTCATATAAATCATGTATATAAAACCAGGTAATTAGGTCACAAGATGTACGATAAGGTGCCTATCAACTCACTGAATGCACGAGTGACTCTTCATAAAAAGTGTCCGTGTAACTTCATAAAAAAGTGTTCAGTCGTGTAATGTACGTACTGTTTTTCTATAGCTCTGCTTGGGGCACAGTCATACAAAATTGATAGATGTGCTTCTGGTAACAAATATAGAAAGAATATAATTGATTGACTTCCATGCAATAATTAATGAGGGGGCATTTATGGACTCAAGTTCTGTTAAGACGGGTGCCACATGTGGAGCAGGATCTGCTTACTCTTCCGGAGCACCAGAGATCACCCCAAGTTTTTGGTGGGGTTCGTGTTGCTCAGTCTTGAGTTTTCTATGATGTGTACTATTGTTTGTCTGTTTGTCTTGTTCTTTTTTAGAGTTTATTTTCGACTTTAAATATGAGTTTGAATGTCCCTTTGGTATCTTTCGCCTCTCTTTAACAACTATAGAAAGAATATAATTGATATGCAGTGCAGTGGCGGATCCAGAGGGGGGGTTCCGGGGGTTGGAACCCCCCTTTTTTCTTGACGATCAATGCTTTTGAATGGGGACATATAGTTGGACCCCCCCCCCCCCTTTACCCTTTTAAAAATGGCTGGATCCGCCCCTGCAGTGACTAAGAAATGGTTAAAATACCAGTCAGGTAACAGACCTGTAATGACAAAACTTAATTTTAAAACGGGATTGTGTTAATTAGTGCAACCCCTTGAGATCCCCAAACAAATATTTATATGATCACTAAGTCAACTTTGCAAAAACTAATTCGATTGGTACCAAATTTTGTGCCGTCCAATCAAAATTAGTGTTACAAAAGATTAGTCCTTGCAATTCACGTTGGGACTAGTAACGTGAATCAGCTAGCGGATAGAATCTATCAATTAAAAAGACGTCTACCAAGAAACTGATTGATTTCACATAAAACGGTTTCATAGAAAAAGGTATGTTTTTCTCGTAAAAATTGGTAAGACACAAAAAAAAATCCAAGTATAATACAAGAAAAAAACAAAACAAATGAAAAAGGGGGGATTCAATTTCAGATTGCAGTAACTGCGTGGTGTAATAATCTTATTTTTTGGTGCACTTGGGTTTGCTATCTATCGATACTTGAGTGCTTTTCCTGTACCGTTTTATTGTTTGTTATGTACCCTTTGTTTGTCGAGTCATTAAAATTAGAGGGGGAGTGTTGAGATGAACCTGAGAACCAATAAATATAGTCCGAGATTACTCTGACGTCCAACGGTTGTTTTGCCAGACAAGGGTCGTCCCAATCTGGGACGAATAAATATTGCTCGAAAACTTTACTGTATATGTAGTAATACTGCTTTTATAGATAATAAAGTCTATAATTTTGAAATATGTTATTTTTACTAAAAAAAGGTACAATTTAACTTCATGAATTTGATTTATGTGTCCTTTTTTGCAAGTTCTATCTGTTCTCTGGGGAATCTGGGTCCTTTCGCCCAAAATCATGTTTGCTACATGTACCTTTCATGGTTACCCCTTTCATGGGTCTCACTTATTAGTGTCAAGAAGCAACAAGAAGAAAAAAAATAACGACAAGAAGTATAATTTAGTGACAACAACAAAAACAATTTCGTGTAAAAAATCTAAGTAATTTTTAAATACATAAATATTGAAACATACATTAAAATGTTTTTATGCCCTCGCTGTGGCGGAGGGGGCATTAAGTTTAACCCTTGTCCGTCCGTACGTCCCAAAGTTGGTTTCCGTTCTCTAACTTTAGTTTGCCTCAACCAAATGTTATGAAACTTATACACAATGCTTATTACCACTACATACAGATCAAGTTTGAATTTGATGCCGTCGCTTTTACCGTTCTAGAGTTATGCCCCTTTACAAATGGAAAAATTTCTAAATTTTTCGTTTCCGTTCTCTAACTTAAGTTTGCCTCAACCAAATGTTATGAATCTTATACACAATGCTTATTACCTCAATATTCAGATCAAGTTTGATTTTGATGCTGTCACTTTTACTGTTCTAGAGTTATGCCCTTTACAAATGGAAAAATTGCTTTTTTTTCTAAATATCAAGTATTTTTAAAATTGGGTTATCTTTCTTTGTCCATGATTATAGTTGAATCAACTACAATCAATGCTTTATACAATACAATGTTTAATTTTACCTTCCACTGATAGATTAAAGCAATTTTTACCCTACATTTCTAAAAATATTTTACAGTCTTCTTTGAAAATTGGAGTTATCTTTCTTTGTGCATAATGGTAGTTGAATCAACTACAATCAATGCTTTATACAATGCAATATTCAATTTTACTTCCTACTGATAAATTAAAGCAATCTTTACCATTCAGTGCTAGTGCTTACAAGCACTTTGATTACTGTTCTAGAGTTATGCACATTTACAAATGAAAAAATTGCTGAATTTTTTGTTTACGTTCTCTAACTTGAGTTTGTCTTAAATTAATGTAATGAAATGTATATATAATGCTTTTTACCACAAAACTCAGTTTAATTTTTTGTTTCCGTTTTCTAACTTTAGTTTGCCTCAACCAAATGTTATGAAACTTATACACAATGCTTATTACTACATAATACAGATTAAGTACAAAATTTAGTGGCGAAACTTTTACCATTTTTGAGTTATGTCCCTTTATAAACATAAAAATTGCTGAATTTTTCGTTTCCATTCTCTGATTTTAGTTTGTCTCAACCAAATGTTATAAAACTTATACACAACCGTTCTAGAGTTATGCGTGTTTACAAATAGAAAAATTGCTGAATTTTTAGTTTCTGTTCTCTGCCTCAACCAAATATTATGAGACTTACACACAATGCTTATTACCACAAAACTCAGATCAAGTTCAAATTTGGGTAGCGTCACTTTTACCGTTCTTCAGTTATGTCCCTTTATAACTATATGATATGCAAGCGGGGGCATCATCTGTGTCCACAAGTGGACACTATCCACATTTATTTACTTTTGATTTCTGTTGATACAATGATTTATCAACACCAGATATATGACCTTGGTGAATATCATACATGTATCTCTGGCATGTCTTGGGTTGATAAATCATTATATCAACCTCATTAAAAGTCACTAATATTATATATACAATAATTCACATCCTGTAAAATTGTTTTTAAAGTTTTTTGACATGTCTCTACCTTAACATTATTTTTTCTAGAAAATGGCGAACGCAATGATTCAAGATGCTTTACAGAATCAGCTTACTCAGGCAGCTCAGATCATGGAACAGCAGGTTGATGCTGAATTGCATCGTCTTGACAACATGGATGAAGATGATTTCGAAAGTCTGCGTAGAAAACGAATGGAAGCAATGAAAAAGTCACAGAAACAAAAACAGGATTGGATGACACAAGGCCATGGGAAATACACGGAAATTCTAGATGAAAAAGAATTCTTTGAAATGTGTAAAAAGAGTAAGAGGGTAGTTTGTCATTTTTACCGGGACAGTACATTTAGGTGTAAAATTGTTGACAAACATTTAGAAATCTTAGCTCCAAAACATATGGAAACTAAATTTGCAAAGATTAATGCAGAGAAATGCCCATTTCTGGTAGAGAGATTACGGATTGTTGTCCTCCCTACAATGTGTGTGGCTAAAGATGGAAAAACAACAGACTATATTGTAGGTTTTGATGAAATGGGAGGTAAAGATGACTTTCCAACAGAAATGTTAGAATGGCGTTTAGGACGTGCAGATGTAATAAATTATAGCGGTGATCTATTAGAGCCACCAAGTGTTGCAAGCGAGAAAAAGACAGGAATATTAGGACATGCCAAGACGAGTAAAACAATTCGTGGAAGGAACGATGATGACTCCAGCGATGAAGATGATTGGTAGAGAACTGATTTTAATGATTTGTCTGTCATTTAATTCATGGCTTCACTACCATGACTACCAGGGACAATTGAAAACAATTATATATGTACAAATTATTTTTATTTATTGACACATTTTATAAATATTTGATTCAATGTTAGATTTATTTTTTGTTAATATGAAGTCTTCAGAAAGTATAAAGCAATGCAAATGTTATGTCTTTTGTACATATATATGTGTACATACAGAATTGAGTGTGCTGTATTTGAGTATTTGGGTAAATATTTTGGTCTTATACATTTTTTCTTTGTAATTGGTAATTTTAAAGTCAATTTAAAATCTGAGTCTTTTGAAAACAGTCTTGAAAACAAGTTTTGGTTGTTCCTTCTTCATTGATGTTATTTAGAATATTATAGGTAACACATTATAAATGACAAAAAAGTAAATTTCTTTGGTACATGTATAGAAAAACAATTAAAAAAATTAAGTTAAAACCATGTGAAAATCACTTTGTTGTATTCATACCTTCCCCGGCTAAGATGAATTGAAATAAACTAGAAATAATCAGGCTAAAATAAATGCAACCATTTGAACTGTTTAATTGGATACATACATAATGAATTGTTGAAGTTGGGAAATGCCAGAGTAATAAAATTTGAAAGTTTGAAATAAACATGATGTGACATTTCACAAAATGAACATAATTTATAAAGAAGACAAAATATAACATGCTAATTAACCAAATACATTTTATGTAAGAAGTCTTCAGTCTTAAAATGAAATTGTGCCCAACTTTGTCCAAGTGTAACAGTTGTAAGCTAACATACACTGTTTTATTGCTTGCTTCTTGTGCAACTTGTCCAAGTGTAAGCTAACATACACTGTATTATTGCTTGCTTCTTGTACAACTTGTCCAAGTGTAAGCTAACATACACTGTATTATTGCTTGCTTCTTGTACAACTTGTCCAAGTGTAAGCTAACATACACTGTATTATTGCTTGCTTCTCGTACAACAGACAGCTTTTTATTATCCCTAAAAATGTTGCTTTCGTACATATGCATCTACCCCATACCCCAATTTCTTCAATTTAATGACATTGATAAATTGTATTATTTGACATATTTTTTATTAAGAAAATAATCAGGTGATACCGAAACATTAAAATGTTAGCGTTTGATGTGTTTAGTAAACTTTTGATAGAAATGTAAACCTTAACACCAATATTTATCCTTCCATTTTTAAATGTCATCGTGTTACACATATGCAGCCTTGTAGAACATTCATTATTATGTTAGCAAGCTATGATCCCTTTCATGTATCTCAGATATCGATCATTATCATATTTTATGTTTCAATTTCAAAAGAAAAGACCTGTTGGCCAACAGTCGGAATAATAAATTCATGAAGAAAAAAATAATTATAAAAAAAAACCAGTCGGAATAAGATCTTTGACAAAGAGGGATATGTCTTTCTGTAGACAGTAAGTTTAATGTGAGCTTACACATTATAAATTTGACTTACAATATCAGCTGATGACAAAGCATGGTGTATAAATATCTGGTAGCGTTATAATGCTGATTAAGAATGTAATATTTGCTACTGGACAAATCAAAAGCAGCCATCAATCAATAGTCACTTTATGTCATGATTAACTGTATTATATAAGAATGTGAATTGCTGTAATAACCTCACAATATACCATATTATGTGTATCTTTATGGAGCTTTACATGTTTATTTCATGCATATGTAGTAAAGTTATGACGTAATTGTTGTTACAGAGTGAAAAATACCATTTAGGTTTCTGAATAAATATTTGTATTAAAATTAAGAATTGTTTGTATACATTTGTACTATTTATGATATGTTTTCTCCCAAGTATTTTCAAATAGCACATTTACAAAACAGTCTAGTTCAAATACAGGTTCTGTGTCCATGCTTCACGTACAGGGATCTAACAAAATTCCATTCTACTTTGGTAATTATTACACCAGCCAATGAAATATCTGCCTACAAATTTATTAAAGGTGTTGTGTATCATTATGCAATTATGGGCAGTTGAAAAGGTGGGGAGATATTTAATATTCATAGATGTTTTGTTTTGTTTACCTACTGTTTCCCAGATATGATCTCTATGTTTCATCTAATGATGACATAACTTTGGAATCTTACCAATATAAATACACATGGATAGCGGCCAAATTGAATTCTGAAGAAGACCCAAAGTGAAGGGAGGGGTAGTACAGAAGTTTAGTATAAGTTTAAGGCATATAAATGTTAAAAATATGCCGCACAACCCTATGTTTTGACCTTTGAAAAAAATATCAGTGCATATGAACTTCCCATTCTAGGATATAATCTTTTACGAAACTTCATAGTAAAAGTGGCACAGTTGTAGCCATAACAGGAGTTCCTATGATTCCTTACATGATTAATCTTAAAACTCATGATTGAGCATATATTTCAATTGCTTTAGGAGTCAAGTGCAGCATTTTTATAGCCCACCTAGGGACATTATGTTTTTCGGTCTGTCCGTCCGTTCGTCCATCTGTCCCGCTTCAGGTTAAAGTTTTTGGTCAAGGTAGTTTTTTGATGAAGTTGAAGTCCAATCAACTTGAAACTTAGTACACATGTTCCCTATGATATGATCTTTCTAATTTTAATGCCAAATTAGAGTTTTGACCCCAATTTCACGGTCCACTGAACATAGAAAATGATAGTGCGAGTGGGGCATCCTTGTACTATGGACACATTCTTGTTGATATGTCTAACAGTCTTAATGTGAATAATTTTCCTTTATGACCTTGAGATATGGAGTAAGGCAACCCACACCCAACGATTCCCCTTTCAATACAAATATACATTTTATTTGACATAATTTTTTGTCGAGCCTGTGACTTTTGTTGCAGAAAGCTCAACATAGGAATAGTGATCCGGCGACGTTAGCTAACTACTTAAAAGCTTAATATTTCAGAAGAAAGAAGACTTGGATCCTTCATACTTTGTATATAGATGCCTTATGTTATGAAGTTTCCGACTGTCATATGTCCTTTGTCCTTGACCTCATTTTCATTGTTCAGTGACTACTTGAAAAAAAAGTTAAGATTTTTTGTAATGTTAATTTCTCTCTTATTATGAGTAATAGGATAACTATATTTGGTATGTGCATGCCTTGCAGAGTCCTCATTTTCTTAGCATTAACCTGGGGACAGCCCTCCTCTTTTTTCTAAAATCCATGTTTCAAAACGTCTGTAACTTCATATAAGATCAAATTGAAAAATCAAACATACCTACAACATGCATGTGAATCAGCTTATAATTCAAAATAAATCTTAAATTTAGATTGAAAACATATTTTTCAAATGACCTGTAAAACTGGTTTCACAATGTTTATATACTGTCCCTACTTTTGATTAGTTGTCTGCATAACTATTGACTCTGCCGAAAGGAAGGTAGGACTTTGGCCAATAATGATTTCATGGTTCAGCTAGCAAACAAGATAACCAAATACACTACAATTACCTACACACTCAAAAGTGCATGTGTTGTAACAACTATTTACATTGTCTCATCATTAATATACGTTTATACTAGGATTGTCTTTCCTGTTATCACATTGATTTGCCTTTCCTGTTACCGTGCAGTGACGAAATGACAAATGTAAAACGATACGTAAGGGAAGCGCTTGGTATGTTGTGTTTATTTAAAGCAGAAAAAAAACATCGAGAATCTGTATATACAAATCCTTGATCAAAGGAATGAATCTTGAAAAATATACAATTTTACGCATCACTATTATGGGTGCTGATATAAGGTCTTTTACAGTTTATCTTATAGTGTACGCGTACTTGCAGACCGAAAGTATAATGATGAATTAAAATTTAAAAAAAAAAAAACGATTGTCTATTTCTCTCTTAAATCACGAACTAAAGGTTACATAAAATCATGTAACAAGGTTTTGTTTCCAGCAGCAGTCATACATATTGATCTGAGAAAGGTCTATTAACGTAAGATTCCATACCTTCCATAGTGATAATGTGAACCCGAATTTTGGCATGCATTATCTTCAGTTTTAAATAAAAAATCCAGTTATCAGCTAGGGATACAGATTGTGCTCTCCAACTTCGTATTTGATTTGGCATAACCAACTCTCTTAATTCGAGCGCCATTGATGGGTCTTATGTAGATGAAATGCCCGTCTGGCGTACACATAAAATGGGAAGATGTGGTATGATTGCCAATGAGACAACTATCCACCAGAATTAAAATGAAGTGGTAATAAGCAATTATAGGCCACCGTACTGCTCCCAACAATGAAAAAAAAACACCATACCGTATAGTCGACTATAAAAGGCCACGACATAAAAAAATGTGAAACAATTCAAACGAGAAAGTAACGATGATAAGACTGGCCAGTGGCGGATCCAGAGGGGGGCGTAGAGGGCGTATTGAGCAAGAACGTATTGACTTCTATTTCACAATTCCACCCAACAGAAAGTAATACTCTATTACACTCTCATGAAACAAAAAGTTCCACAGCAATATTATTTACCTACGAAAACATGTTTAACCCCACACGCCCCAGCCCATTAATAACATTGCTGAATAGTGATCCCCAGTCAGTAAGCTCTAGATATAGATTTAAAGTCTAAGGTACGGACCATTTGATTTGAGGGGGCAGTCTGAGATATTTTAGAGAAAAAATTCTGACCCTGATTTTTGCCTAAAACAAAAATTCTGGCCGTATCTGGATTGAAAACAATAATTTTGTCCACTTTTTTGCTATTAGAAAAAAATATTTTCAACAGAATTATTTAGCATCAAATGAACATGATGAATAAAAAAACGGGCGTAATTTTTTTTTTGGGGGGGGGGGGAGGTTGCATGTGAATCCCATATCTGACCAGAATGTCTGTTTGTGGCCTTTATGTGCTGGGTGTGGCCTATATGTCTCAGGCCATGTATCGACCGTCATTCATAACTTCATTGTCATTTCCGACACATTCGTAGCCTTTGTTTGATTTGGAACCCGTCACTTCCCTTGTTGTTCAACCAAACATTGGATAAAAATTGCTTGTTTGTCTTTCTTCGTGTCGGTCGTATTGTAAATTTCATTGAATAGCCGTATATCTTGTTTACAACAAGAAATCTGTGAGGTTATGCTAACTAACCATGCAACAAACGAGAATTTTCCTTGTCCATTTTTTACCGACAATTCCCACATCAAATATATTAATTAGTACATAGCTTTGGATCCATCCAATCATTTTATAATAGACAATTAATGGAGAAAAAAAGGCACCAAAAATGTCCAACCCCTACACTGTAACTATAAAATGCATTTTACACTTTTTTATGTTTTTTACCCAAAAAAGGTCCCAAAAAATTTCCCCTCGCTCCGCTCGGCAAACTTTAATACTACGCCCCCCCCCTTTCCAAGATCCTGGATCCGCCCCTGAAGACTTCAATGAAACGATGGCGCTAAGCTTTTGTGACTGTGAACATTATTTGACCAATTTCCGTATTGTTATATTTTTCTTTTGCATGTATTTGTCAACTTGTCGAAACCTTAGCAAAATGGCTTTAGTCAATGAATTTGTTACAATCGTTGTAAAATTGTCAAACTCAACATTTAACTGCAAACATATTTTTGACTCGACTCGACTTAAAACTTACGACATTCTATGTATGGTTTACATAACTATACGCATGATGATCGACGTTATGAAAAGAAAAAGAGAAAACTGGAAAAAGATGGATGAAAACTGTAAAAATATGTTCACTGATGATATAATCGATGAGCTAAGCTATCAATATTATTACATACTTTCAACATATATTTGTTCCGCCTAACAGAATAGAAAAACAAAGGATCATGATGGGGTATCCATCCATGATACAAAATCAGTACATGCACAGCAAAAAAAACATACATAAAGCAAAGGCACAGAGCTTTTATTGCTGTTTAAAATTCAGTAGGCAATCCGTGAGTCCAATTTGTCAACTATGTAAGCATGAACCTGAAGATCGTCAACACTTTATAATCAAGTGTAAAGTATTGGAGGAAATTAGGTCTCCGTTCATCGACAAATTGAAATGCTATCTTAAAGACATTATTAGTGGAACTCTGTTTGATGAACTATTTCATGAGAGTAACAACTTGCTACAATTAATTATTGGCTGCTCAAAGTTTTATTTCTTGTCAACTCAACAACATGTACACATCGAGAAAATTAGTGCTGGACTATGCTTTAGCTTGCACCAAAAGCGTGCATCAATGTTATGATACTGAAGTGAAATAGTTATGATATGGAGAAGAAATATATGTGATGACATTTAAGTTGCAGTCTCATCAGAACGGTTTGAGCGGAATTCTTTGCAAAAATAATTTGGATAGATTATAAGATGTCATCTATGGGCATGCGCTAATACAGATGGACGTGTAAAAGATCTCTCTTGTCAAATGGGAAAATACGATGGATAACTAAAATATAAAGGGTCAAAATTGAATACACTAACAACAGAGTGAATCCTGCAGATTTAAACAGAACAATCTACAGACAAATTATAATTATTTGTTAACTTTACTGAGACATTCTTTTGTCAACATTCAAGAACAAACAACATGGCTGCCCCCACGGACCAAAACAATGAACTTAATTCTGAACCAATGATTTGTAGTTCACAACCTGCAATCTCTCTTAGCACTCCAGCAACTAAACCATCAAACAAACGAAAAGAGCTCTTAAGTCCGGAGCTTCTTCCAGGAACACAAAAACAAACAACACGACAAATAAGGCGTCGAAACTCAGTTGGTGATCTTCGGGATTTAGACAAAAAAGT